TGATGGAAAGAGGGAGAATGGGGCTGGGTGATGGAAAGAGGGAGAATGGGGCTGGGTGATGGTAAGAGGGAGAATGGGGCGAGGTGATGGAAAGCGGGAGAATGGGGCGGGGTGATGGAAAGTGGGAGAATGGGGCGGGGTGATGGAAAGAGGGAGAATGGGGCGGGGTGATGGAAAGCGGGAGAATGGGGCAGGGTGATGGAAAGCGGGAGAATGAGGCGAGGTGATGGAAAGCGGGAGAATGGGGCGGGGTGATGGAAAGCGGGAGAATGGGGTGCGGTGATGGAAAGCGGGAGAATGGGGCTGGTTGATGGAAAGAGGGAGAATTGGCGGGGTGATGGAAAGAGGAAGAATGGGGCGGGGTGATGGAAAGAGGGAGAATGGGGCGGGGTGATTGAAAGAGGGAGAATGGGGCTGGGTGATGGAAAGCGGGAGAATGGGGCTGGGTGATGGAAAGCGGCAGAATGGGGCGGGGTGATGGAAAGAGGGAGAATGGGGCTGGGTGATGGAAAGCGGGAGAATGGGGCGGGGTGATGGAAAGTGGGAGAATGGGGCGGGGTGATGGAAAGAAGGAGAAGGGGGCGGGGTGATGGGAAGCGGGAGAATGGGGCGGGGTGGTGGAAAGAGGGAGAATGGGGCGGGGTGATGGAAAGCGGGAGAATGGGGCGGGGTGATGGAAAGCGGGAGAATGGGGCGGGGTGATGGAAAGAGGGAGAATGGGGCTGGGTGATGGAAAGAGGGAGAATGGGGCTGGGTGATGGTAAGAGGGAGAATGGGGCGGGGTGATGGAAAGCGGGAGAATGGGGCGGGGTGATGGAAAGTGGGAGAATGGGGCGGGGTGATGGAAAGAGAGAGAATGGGGAGGGGTGATGGAAAGCGGGAGAATGGGGCAGGGTAATGGAAAGCGGGAGAATGAGGCGGGGTGATGGAAAGCGGGAGAATGGGGCGGGGTGATGGAAAGCGGGAGAATGGGGCGCGGTGATGGAAAGCCGGAGAATGGGGCGGGGTGATGGAAAGCGGGAGAATGGGGCGGGGTGATGGAAAGCGGGAGAATGGGGCGGGGTGATGGAAAGCGGGAGAATGGGGCTGGGTGATGGAAAAAGGGAGAATGGGCGGGGTGATGGAAAGAGGAAGAATGGGGCGGGGTGATGGAAAGAGGGAGAATGGGGCGGGGTGATGGAAAGCGGGAGAATGGGGCTGGGTGATGGAAAGAGGGAGAATGGGCGGGGTGATGGAAAGAGGAAGAATGGGGCGGGGTGATGGAAAGAGGGAGAATGGGGCGGGGTGATTGAAAGAGGGAGAATGGGGCTGGGTGATGGAAAGCGGGAGAATGGGCGTGATGGAAAGCGGGAGAATGGGGCGGGGTGATGGAAAGAGGGAGAATGGGGCTGGGTGATGGAAAGCGGGAGAATGGGGCGGGGTGATGGAAAGCGGGAGAATGGGGCGGGGTGATGGAAAGCGGGAGATTGGGGCGAAGTGATGGAAAGAGGGAGATCGGGGCGGGGTGATGGAAAGCGGGAGAATGGGGCGTGGTGATGGAAAGCGGGAGAATGGGGCGGGGTGATGGAAAGCGGGAGATGGGGCAGGGTGATGGAAAGCGGGAGAATGGGGCGGGGTGATGGAAAGCGGGATAATGGGCCGGGGTGATGGAAAGAGGGAGAATGGGGCGTGGTGATGGAAAGAGGGAGAATGGGGCTGGGTGATGGAAAGCGGGAGAAAGGGGCGGGCTGATGGAAAGCGGGAGAATGGGGAGGGGTGATGGAAAGAGGGAGAACGGGGCGGGGTGATAGAAAGAGGGAGAACGGGGCGGGGCGATGGAAAGCGGGAGAACGGGGCGGGGCGATGGAAAGAGGGAGAATGGGGCGGGGTGATGGAAAGAGGGAGAATGGGGCGGGGTGATGGAAAGAGGGAGAATGGGGCGGGGTGATGGAAAGCGGGAGAATGGGGCGGGGTGATGGAAAGCGGGAGAATGGGGCGGGGTGATGGAAAGTGGGAGAATGGAGCGGGGTGATGGAAAGCGGGAGAATGGGGCGGGGTGATGGAAAGAGGGAGAATGAGGCGGGGTGATGGAAAGAGGGAGAATGGGGCGGGGTGATGGAAAGCGGGAGAATGGGGCGGGGTGATGGAAAGCGGGAGAATGGGGCGGGGTGATGGAAAGCGGGAGAATGGGGCGAGGTGATGGAAAGAGGGAGAATGGGGCGGGGTGATGGAAAGAGGGAGAATGGGGCGGGGTGATGGAAAGCGGGAGAATGGGGCGGGGTGATGGAAAGCGGGAGAATGGGGCGGGGTGATGGAAAGAGGGAGAATGGGGCTGGGTGATGGAAAGCGGGAGAATGGGGCGGGGTGATGGAAAGAGGGAGAATGGGGCTGGGTGATGGAAAGAGGGAGAATGAAGCTGGGTGATGGTAAGAGGGAGAATGGGGCGGGGTGATGGAAAGCGGGAGAATGGGGCGGGGTGATGGAAAGTGGGAGAATGGGGCGGGGTGATGGAAAGAGGGAGAATGGGGCGGGGTGATGGAAAGCGGGAGAATGAGGCGGAGTGATGGAAAGCGGGAGAATGGGGCGGGGTGATGGAAATCGGGAGAATGGGGTGCGGTGATGGAAAGCGGGAGAATGGGGCGGGGTGATGGAAAGCGGGAGAATGGGGCGGGGTGATGGAAAGCGGGAGAATGGGGCGGGGTGATGGAAAGAGGGAGAATGGGCGGGGTTATGGAAAGAGGAAGAATGGGGTGGGGTGATGGAAAGAGGGAGAATGGGGCGGGGTGATTGAAAGAGGGAGAATGGGGCTGGGTGATGGAAAGCGGGAGAATGGGGCTGGGTGATGGAAAGCGGGAGAATGGGGCGGGGTGATGGAAAGAGGGAGAATGGGGCTGGGTGATGGAAAGCGGGAGAATGGGGCGGGGTGATGGAAAGCAGGAGAATGGGGCGGGGTCATGGAAAGCGGGAGAATGGGGCGGGGTGATGGAAAGCGGGAGATTGGGGCGAAGTGATGGAAAGCGGGAGAACGGGGCGGGGTGATGGAATGAGGGAGAATGAGGCGGGGTGATGGAAAGCGGGAGAATGGGGCGGGGTGATGGAAAGCGGGAGAATGGGGCGGGGTGATGGAAAGCGGGAGAATGGGGCGGGGTGATGGAAAGCGGGATAATGGGCCGGGGTGATGGAAAGAGGGAGAATGGGGCGTGGTGATGGAAAGAGGGAGAATGGGGCTGGGTGATGGAAAGCGGGAGAATGGGGCGGGGTGATGGAAAGTGGGAGAACGGTGCGGGGTGATGGAAAGCGGGAGAACGGGGCGGGGTGATGGAAAGCGGGAGAATGGGGCTGGGAGATGGAAAGAGGGTGAATGGGGCGGGGTGATGGAAAGCGGGAGATGGGGCGGGGTGATGGAAAGCGGGAGAATAGGGCGGGGAGATGGAAAGCGGGAGAATGGGGCGGGGTGATAGAAAGAGGGAGAATGGGGCGGGGTGAGGGAAAGAGGGAGAATGGGGCGGGGTGATGGAAAGCGGGAGAATGGGGCGGGGTGATAGAAAGCGGAAGAATGGGGTGGGGTGATGGAAAGCGGGAGAATGGGGCGGGGTGATGGAAAGCGGGAGAATGGGGCGGGGTGATGGAAAGCGGGAGAATGGGGCGGGGTGATGGAAAGCGGGAGAATGGGGCGGGTTGATGGAAAGAGGGAGAATGAGGCGGGGTGATGGAAAGAGGGAGAATGGGGCGGGGTGGTGGAAAGAGGGAGAATGGGGCGGGGTTATGGAAAGCGGGAGAATGGGGCGGGGTGATGGAAAGCGGGAGAATGGGGCGGGGTGATGGAAAGAGGGAGAATGGGGCTGGGTGATGGAAAGAGGGAGAATGGGGCTGGGTGATGGTAAGAGGGAGAATGGGGCGAGGTGATGGAAAGCGGGAGAATGGGGCGGGGTGATGGAAAGTGGGAGAATGGGGCGGGGTGATGGAAAGCGGGAGAATGGGGCGGGGTGATGGAAAGCGGGAGAATGGGGCAGGGTGATGGAAAGCGGGAGAATGAGGCGAGGTGATGGAAAGCGGGAGAATGGGGCGGGGTGATGGAAAGCGGGAGAATGGGGTGCGGTGATGGAAAGCGGGAGAATGGGGCTGGTTGATGGAAAGAGGGAGAATTGGCGGGGTGATGGAAAGAGGAAGAATGGGGCGGGGTGATGGAAAGAGGGAGAATGGGGCGGGGTGATTGAAAGAGGGAGAATGGGGCTGGGTGATGGAAAGCGGGAGAATGGGGCTGGGTGATGGAAAGCGGCAGAATGGGGCGGGGTGATGGAAAGAGGGAGAATGGGGCTGGGTGATGGAAAGCGGGAGAATGGGGCGGGGTGATGGAAAGTGGGAGAATGGGGCGGGGTGATGGAAAGAAGGAGAAGGGGGCGGGGTGATGGGAAGCGGGAGAATGGGGCGGGGTGGTGGAAAGAGGGAGAATGGGGCGGGGTGATGGAAAGCGGGAGAATGGGGCGGGGTGATGGAAAGCGGGAGAATGGGGCGGGGTGATGGAAAGAGGGAGAATGGGGCTGGGTGATGGAAAGAGGGAGAATGGGGCTGGGTGATGGTAAGAGGGAGAATGGGGCGGGGTGATGGAAAGCGGGAGAATGGGGCGGGGTGATGGAAAGTGGGAGAATGGGGCGGGGTGATGGAAAGAGGGAGAATGGGGAGGGGTGATGGAAAGCGGGAGAATGGGGCAGGGTAATGGAAAGCGGGAGAATGAGGCGGGGTGATGGAAAGCGGGAGAATGGGGCGGGGTGATGGAAAGCGGGAGAATGGGGCGCGGTGATGGAAAGCCGGAGAATGGGGCGGGGTGATGGAAAGCGGGAGAATGGGGCGGGGTGATGGAAAGCGGGAGAATGGGGCGGGGTGATGGAAAGCGGGAGAATGGGGCTGGGTGATGGAAAAAGGGAGAATGGGCGGGGTGATGGAAAGAGGAAGAATGGGGCGGGGTGATGGAAAGAGGGAGAATGGGGCGGGGTGATTGAAAGAGGGAGAATGGGGCTGGGTCATGGAAAGCGGGAGAATGGGGCTGGGTGATGGAAAGCGGGAGAATGGGGCGGGGTGATGGAAAGAGGGAGAATGGGGCTGGGTGATGGAAAGCGGGAGAATGGGGCGGGGTGATGGAAAGTGGGAGAATGGGGCGGGGTGATGGAAAGAGGGAGAATGGGGCGGGGTGATGGAAAGCGGGAGAATGGGGCGGGGTGATGGAAAGCGGGAGAATGGGGCGGGGTGATGGAAAGCGGGAGAATGGGGCGGGGTGATGGAAAGCGAGAGAATGGGGTGAGGTGATGGAAAGCGGGAGAATGGGGCGGGGTGATGGAAAGCGGGAGAATGGGGTGGGGTGATGGAAAGCGGGAGAATGGGGCTGGGTGATGGAAAGAGGGAGAATGGGCGGGGTGATGGAAAGAGGAAGAATGGGGCGGGGTGATGGAAAGAGGGAGAATGGGGCGGGGTGATTGAAAGAGGGAGAATGGGGCTGGGTGATGGAAAGCGGGAGAATGGGCGTGATGGAAAGCGGGAGAATGGGGCGGGGTGATGGAAAGAGGGAGAATGGGGCTGGGTGATGGAAAGCGGGAGAATGGGGCGGGGTGATGGAAAGCGGGAGAATAGGGCGGGGTCATGGAAAGCGGGAGAATGGGGCGGGGTGATGGAAAGCGGGAGATTGGGGCGAAGTGATGGAAAGAGGGAGATCGGGGCGGGGTGATGGAAAGAGGGAGAATGGGGCGGGGTGATGGAAAGAGGGAGAATGGGGCGGGGTCATGGAAAGCGGGAGAATGGGGCGTGGTGATGGAAAGCGGGAGAATGGGGCGGGGTGATGGAAAGCGGGAGATGGGGCAGGGTGATGGAAAGCGGGAGAATGGGGCGGGGTGATGGAAAGCGGGATAATGGGCCGGGGTGATGGAAAGAGGGAGAATGGGGCGTGGTGATGGAAAGAGGGAGAATGGGGCTGGGTGATGGAAAGCGGGAGAAAGGGGCGGGCTGATGGAAAGCGGGAGAATGGGGAGGGGTGATGGAAAGAGGGAGAACGGGGCGGGGTGATAGAAAGAGGGAGAACGGGGCGGGGCGATGGAAAGCGGGAGAACGGGGCGGGGCGATGGAAAGAGGGATAACGGGGTGGGTGATGGACACAGGGAGAATGGGGTGGGGTGATGGAAAGCGGGAGAATTGGGCGGGGTGATGGAAAGAGGGAGAATGGGGCGGGGTGATAGAAAGTGGGAGAATGGGGCGGGGTGATAGAAAGCGGGAGAATGGGGCAGGGTGATGGAAATCGGGAGAATGAGGCTGGGTGTTGGAAAGCGGGAGAATGGGGCAAGGTGATGGAAAGAGGGAGAACGGGGCGGGGTGATGGAAAGAGGGAGAATGGGGCGGGGTGATGGAAAGCGGGAGAATGGGGCGGGTTGATGGAAAGAGGGAGAATGGGGCGGGGTGATGGAAAGCGGGAGAATCGGGCGGGGTGATGGAAAGCGGGAGAATGAGGCGGGGTGATGGAAAGCGGGAGAATGGGGCGGGGTGATGGAAAGCGGGAGAATGGGGCGCGGTGATGGAAAGCGGGAGAATGGGGCGCGGTGATGGAAAGCGGGAGAATGGGGCGGGGTGATGGAAAGCGGGAGAATGGGGCGGGGTGATGGAAAGCGGGAGAATGGGGCGGGGTGATGGAAAGCGGGAAATGGGGCGGGGTGATGGAAAGCCGGAGAATGGGGCGGGGTGATGGAAAGCGGGAGAATGGGGCGGGGTGATGGAAAGCGGGAGAATGGGGCGGGGTGATGAAAAGCGGGAGAATGGGGCGGGGTGATGGAAAGCGGGAGAATGAGGCGGGGTGATGGAAAGCGGGAGAATGGGGCTGGGTGATGGAAAGAGGGAGAATGGGCGGGGTGATGGAAAGAGGAAGAATGGGGCGGGGTGATGGAAAGAGGGAGAATGGGGCGGGGTGATTGAAAGAGGGAGAATGGGGCTGGGTGATGGAAAGCGGGAGAATGGGCGTGATGGAAAGCGGGAGAATGGGGCGGGGTGATGAAAAGAGGGAGAATGGGGCTGGGTGATGGAAAGCGGGAGAATGGGGCGGGGTGATGGAAAGCGGGAGAATCGGGCGGGGTGATGGAAAGCGGGAGAATGGGGCGGGGTGATGGAAAGCGGGAGAATGGGGCGGGGTGATGGAAAGCGGGAGAATGGGGCGCGGTGATGGAAAGCGGGAGAATGGGGCGCGGTGATGGAAAGCGGGAGAATGGGGCGGGGTGATGGAAAGCGGGAGAATGGGGCGGGGTGATGGAAAGCGGGAGAATGGGGCGGGGTGATGGAAAGCGGGAGAATGGGGCGGGGTGATGGAAAGCGGGAGAATGGGGCGGGGTGATGGAAAGCGGGAGAATGGGGCGGGGTGATGGAAAGCGGGAGAATGGGGCGGGGTGATGGAAAGCGGGAGAATGGGGCGGGGTGATGGAAAGCGGGAGAATGGGGCGGGGTGATGGAAAGCGAGAGAATGGGGTGAGGTGATGGAAAGCGGGAGAATGGGGCGGGGTGATGGAAAGCGGGAGAATGGGGTGGGGTGATGGAAAGCGGGAGAATGGGGCTGGGTGATGGAAAGAGGGAGAATGGGCGGGGTGATGGAAAGAGGAAGAATGGGGCGGGGTGATGGAAAGAGGGAGAATGGGGCGGGGTGATTGAAAGAGGGAGAATGGGGCTGGGTGATGGAAAGCGGGAGAATGGGCGTGATGGAAAGCGGGAGAATGGGGCGGGGTGATGGAAAGAGGGAGAATGGGGCTGGGTGATGGAAAGCGGGAGAATGGGGCGGGGTGATGGAAAGCGGGAGAATAGGGCGGGGTCATGGAAAGCGGGAGAATGGGGCGGGGTGATGGAAAGCGGGAGATTGGGGCGAAGTGATGGAAAGAGGGAGATCGGGGCGGGGTGATGGAAAGAGGGAGAATGGGGCGGGGTGATGGAAAGAGGGAGAATGGGGCGGGGTCATGGAAAGCGGGAGAATGGGGCGTGGTGATGGAAAGCGGGAGAATGGGGCGGGGTGATGGAAAGCGGGAGATGGGGCAGGGTGATGGAAAGCGGGAGAATGGGGCGGGGTGATGGAAAGCGGGATAATGGGCCGGGGTGATGGAAAGAGGGAGAATGGGGCGTGGTGATGGAAAGAGGGAGAATGGGGCTGGGTGATGGAAAGCGGGAGAAAGGGGCGGGCTGATGGAAAGCGGGAGAATGGGGAGGGGTGATGGAAAGAGGGAGAACGGGGCGGGGTGATAGAAAGAGGGAGAACGGGGCGGGGCGATGGAAAGCGGGAGAACGGGGCGGGGCGATGGAAAGAGGGATAACGGGGTGGGTGATGGACACAGGGAGAATGGGGTGGGGTGATGGAAAGCGGGAGAATTGGGCGGGGTGATGGAAAGAGGGAGAATGGGGCGGGGTGATAGAAAGTGGGAGAATGGGGCGGGGTGATAGAAAGCGGGAGAATGGGGCAGGGTGATGGAAATCGGGAGAATGAGGCTGGGTGTTGGAAAGCGGGAGAATGGGGCAAGGTGATGGAAAGAGGGAGAACGGGGCGGGGTGATGGAAAGAGGGAGAATGGGGCGGGGTGATGGAAAGCGGGAGAATGGGGCGGGTTGATGGAAAGAGGGAGAATGGGGCGGGGTGATGGAAAGCGGGAGAATCGGGCGGGGTGATGGAAAGCGGGAGAATGAGGCGGGGTGATGGAAAGCGGGAGAATGGGGCGGGGTGATGGAAAGCGGGAGAATGGGGCGCGGTGATGGAAAGCGGGAGAATGGGGCGCGGTGATGGAAAGCGGGAGAATGGGGCGGGGTGATGGAAAGCGGGAGAATGGGGCGGGGTGATGGAAAGCGGGAGAATGGGGCGGGGTGATGGAAAGCGGGAAATGGGGCGGGGTGATGGAAAGCGGGAGAATGGGGCGGGGTGATGGAAAGCGGGAGAATGGGGCGGGGTGATGGAAAGCGGGAGAATGGGGCGGGGTGATGAAAAGCGGGAGAATGGGGCGGGGTGATGGAAAGCGGGAGAATGAGGCGGGGTGATGGAAAGCGGGAGAATGGGGCTGGGTGATGGAAAGACGGAGAATGGGCGGGGTGATGGAAAGAGGAAGAATGGGGCGGGGTGATGGAAAGAGGGAGAATGGGGCGGGGTGATTGAAAGAGGGAGAATGGGGCTGGGTGATGGAAAGCGGGAGAATGGGCGTGATGGAAAGCGGGAGAATGGGGCGGGGTGATGAAAAGAGGGAGAATGGGGCTGGGTGATGGAAAGCGGGAGAATGGGGCGGGGTGATGGAAAGCGGGAGAATCGGGCGGGGTGATGGAAAGCGGGAGAATGGGGCGGGGTGATGGAAAGCGGGAGAATGGGGCGGGGTGATGGAAAGCGGGAGAATGGGGCGCGGTGATGGAAAGCGGGAGAATGGGGCGCGGTGATGGAAAGCGGGAGAATGGGGCGGGGTGATGGAAAGCGGGAGAATGGGGCGGGGTGATGGAAAGCGGGAGAATGGGGCGGGGTGACGCTTTCCATCACCGCGCCCCATTCTCCCGCTTTCCATCACCCCGCCCCATTCTCCCGCTTTCCATCACCCCGCCCCATTCTCCCGCTTTCCATCACCCCGCCCCATTCTCCCGCTTTCCATCACCCCGCCCCATTCTCCCTCTTTCCATCACCCCGCCCCATTCTCCCACTTTCCATCACCCCGCCCCATTCTCCCGCTTTCCATCACCCCGCCCCATTCTCCCTCTTACCATCACCCAGCCCCATTCTCCCTCTTTCCATCACCCAGCCCAACTCTCCCTCTTTCCATCACCCCGCCCCATTCTCCCGCTTTCCATCACCCCGCCACATTCTCCCGCTTTCCATCACTTCGCCCCATTCTCCCTCTTTCCATCACTCCGCCCCATTCTCCTTCTTTCCATCACCCCGCCTCATTCTCCCTCTTTCCATCACCCCGACCCATTCTCCCGCTTTCCATCACCCCGCCCCATTCTCCCGCTTTCCACCACCCCGCCCCATTCTCCCGCTTTCCATCAACCCGCACCATTCTCCCTCTTTCCATCACCCCGCCCCATTCTCCCTCTTTCCATTACCCCGCCCCATTCTCCCGCTTTCCATCACCCCGCCCCATTCTCCCTCTTACCATCACCCAGCCCCATTCTCCCTCTTTCCATCACCCAGCCCCATTCTCCCTCTTTCCATCACCCCGCCCCAATCTCCCACTTTCCATCACCCCGCCCCATTCTCCCGCTTTCCATCACCCCGCCCCATTCTCCCTCTTTCCACCACCCCGCCCCATTCTCCCGCTTTCCATCACCCCGCCCCATTCTCGCTCTTTCCATCACCCCGCCCATTCTCCCGCTTTCCATCACCCCGCCCCATTCTCCCGCTTTCCATCACCCCGCCCCATTCTCCCACTTTCCATCACCCCGCCCCATTCACCCTCTTTCCATCACCCAGCCCCACTCTCCCGCTTTCCATCACCCCGCCCCGTTCTCCCGCTTTCCATCACCTTGCCCCGTTCTCCCACTTTCCATCGCCCCGCCCCATTCTCCCTCTTTCCATCACCCCGGCCCATTATCCCGCTTTCTATCACCCCACCCCATTCACCCGCTTTCCATCACCGCGCCCCATCTCCCGCTTTCCATCACCCCGCCCCATTCTCCCGCTTTCCATCACCGCGCCCCATTCTCCCGCTTTCCATCACCCCGCCCCATTCTCCCGCTTTCCATCACCCCGCCCCATTCTGCCGCTTTCCATCACCCCGCCCCATTCTCCCGCTTTCCATCACCCCGCCCCATTCTCCCTCTTTCCATCACCCCGCCCCATTCTCCCACTTTCCATCACCCTGCCCCATTCTCCCGCTTTCCATCACCCCGCCCCATTCTCCCTCTTACCATCACCCAGCCCCATTCTCCCTCTTTCCATCACCCAGCCCCATTCTCCCTCTTTCCATCACCCCGCCCCAATCTCCCGCTTTCCATCACCTCGCCCCATTCTCCCGCTTTCCATCACCCCGCCCCATTCTCCCGCTTTCCATCACCCCGCCCCATTCTCCCGCTTTCCATCACCCCGCCCCATTCTCCGCTTTCCATCACCCCGCCCCATTCTCCCTCTTACCATCACCCAGCCCCATTCTCCCTCTTTCCATCACCCAGCCCCATTCTCCCTCTTTCCATCACCCCGCCCCAATCTCCCACTTTCCATCACCCCGCCCCATTCTACCGCTTTCCATCACCCCGCCCCATTCTCCCTCTTTCCATCACCCCGCCCCGTTCTCCCTCTTTCCATCACCCTGCCCCATTCTCCCGCTTTCCATCAACCAGCCCCATTCTCCCGCTTTCCATCACCTCGCCCCATTCTCCCGCTTTTCATCACCCCGCCCCATTCTCCCACTTTCTATCACCCCGCCCCATTCTCCCTCTTTCCATCACCCCGCCCAATTCTCCCGCTTTCCATCACCCCACCCCATTCTCCCTCTGTCCATCACCCGCCCCATTCTCCCTCTTTCCATCGCCCCGCCCCATTCTCCCGCTTTCCATCGCCCCGCCCCGTTCTCCCTCTTTCTATCACCCCGCCCCATTCTCCCTCTTTCCATCGCCCCGCCCCATTCTCCCGCTTTCCATCACCCTGCCCCATTCTCCCGCGTTCCATCACCCAGCCCCATTCTCCCGCTTTCCATCACCCCGCCCCATTCTCCCGTTTTCCATCACCCAGCCCCATTCTCCCGCTTTCCATCACCCAGCCTTATTCTCCCTCTTTCAATCACCCCGCCCCATTCTCCCTCTTTCCATCACCTCGCCCCATTCTTCCTCTTTCCATCACCCCGCCCATTTTCCCTCTTTCCATCACCCAGCCCCATTCTCCCGTTTTCCATCACCCCGCCCCATTCTCCCGCTTTCCATCACCCCGCCCCATTCTCCCGCTTTCCATCACCCCACCCCATTCTCCCGCTTTCCATCACCGCGCCCCATTCTCCCGCTTTCCATCACCCCGCCCCATTCTCCCGCTTTCCATCACCCCGCCCCAGTCTCCCGCTTTCCATCACCCCGCCCCATTCTCCCGCTTTCCATCACCCCGCCCCATTCTCCCTCTTTCCATCACCCCGCCCCATTCTCCCCCTTTCCATCACCCCGCCCCATTCTCCCGCTTTCCATCACCCCGCCTCATTCTCCCTCTTACCATCACCCAGCCCCATTCTCCCTCTTACCATCACCCAGCCCCATTCTCCCTCTTTCAATCACCCCGCCCCATTCTCCCTCTTTCCATCACCCCGCCCCATTCTTCCTCTTTCCATCACCCCGCCCATTCTCCCTCTTTCCATCACCCAGCCCCATTCTCCCGCTTTCCATCACCCCGCCCCATTCTCCCGCTTTCCATCACCCCGCCCCATTCTCCCGCTTTCCATCACCCCGCCCCATTCTCCCGCTTTCCATCACCGCGCCCCATTCTCCCGCTTTCCATCACCCCGCCCCATTCTCCCGCTTTCCATCACCCCGCCCCATTCTCCGCTTTCCATCAACCCGCCCCATTCTCCCTCTTACCATCACCCAGCCACATTCTCCCTCTTTCCATCACCCAGCCCCATTCTCCCTCTTTCCATCACCCCGCCCCAATCTCCCACTTTCCATCACCCTGCCCCATTCTACCGCTTTCCATCACCCCGCCCCATTCTCCCTCTTTCCATCACCCCGCCCCGTTCTCCCTCTTTCCATCACCCTGCCCCATTCTTCCGCTTTCCATCACCCAGCCCCATTCTCCCGCTTTCCATCACCTCGCCCCATTCTCCCGCTTTTCATCACCCCGCCCCATTCTCCCACTTTCTATCACCCCGCCCCATTCTCCCGCTTTCCATCGCCCAGCCCCATTCTCCCGCTTTCCATCACCTCGCCCCATTCTCCCGCTTTTCATCACCCCGCCCCATTCTCCCACTTTCTATCACCCCGCCCCATTCTCCCTCTGTCCATCACCCGCCCCGTACTCCCTCTTTCCATCGCCCCGCCCCGTTCTCCCGCTTTCCATCGCCCCGCCCCGTTCTCCCTCTTTCTATCACCCCGCTCCATTCTCCCTCTTTCCATCGCCCCGCCCCATTCTCCCGCTTTCCATCACCCCGCCCCGATCTCCCACTTTCCATCACCCCGCCCCATTCTCCCTTTTTCCATCACCCCGCCCCACTCTCCCGCTTTCCATCACCCCGCCCAATTCTC